CCCCCTCCCTCCTTCCATCCTGCCTTCTGCTATCCTGTTTTGTTTTTCTTTTGCTGTTCTTTCTGCCCAGTGTCCATTTCATATTTCCCTCTTCTCTGTCCTTCCCTCAATGTTCCTCTCTCTTCCCTTTCCTTCCTCCTCCCCTCCCCCCTCCCTTTCTCTTCCCTCAGCTCTCTTTGTCTCTCGGTTGTTTTTTTTTTTTAAAGATGTTTAAAATTAATTTTAGTTTTTAATGTAGCACACATGCAGTGCTCACAGAGGCCAGAAGAGGGCGTGAGATCACCTGGAGCTGGAGTTAACAGTGGGTTGTGAGACACAAACTAAGAGCTGGGAACCAAACCTGGTCCCCTCGAAGGGCAGCCAGTACTCTTAACCACCGAGGCATCTCTCCAGCCCTGTTTGGTTTTCTGAGACAGGGTTTCGTATAGCCCTGGGCTAGCCTAAAGCTTGCTGTATAGACAAGGATGACCCCAAAGTTGTGACCCTCCTGCTTCCCCCCCCCCCCAAGGATTGGAAGTGCTTGGATTAGAGACTTGCCGCTCCCATGCCTGTTTCTCTCCCTCTGATCAGGTCTTGCCAATACGTAGCCCAGGCTGGCCACAAACACATGGTGCTCCTGCATCTACCTCCAGAGTGCCAGGATGTCAGGCGTGAACCACCATGCCCAGCCATCCCTTCCTCCTCAACCACCCCCACTTTTCCCATTTCTTTTTTTAAAAGATTTTATTAATTTATTGTGTATACAACATTCTGCTTCCATGTCTATCTGCAACACCAGAAGAGGGCACCAGACCTCATTACAGATGGTTGAGAACCACCATGTGGTTGCTGGGAATTGAACTCAGGACCCCTGGAAGAGCACTCGGTGCTCTTAACCTCTGAGCCATCTCTCCTGTCCCTACTTTTCCCATTTCTCTTCTCCTCTTCTATTGAATCCATTTCCCGTCCCCTCTCTCCCCCTCCCTCCATTCTCTGTCCCCTCTTTATCTCTCTGGCTCACATCCTTTGGTTGCCCTCAGGTCCTCACCAGTATCCAGCAGCAGCATCGCCTCAGAGCACCCCTGAGGACAGGAGACGCTGGGGAATGTCATGGAGCTGAGGTCGAAGGGCCCGAAGTAGGTGTGCTCGAAGCTGTAGCATTGTAGGGCTTGGGAACCTAAGAGAGAGAGGATGGGGTGTGTTAGCAGGTCAGGGGAACCTGTCACGGGACCTAGGGCTCCACACAGTGCAGGACAGATACACACCGGGCTGCTGTGTCTCACGTCACCACAAGAGAGTAGTGTCATTTGCCAAGTGCCACCATGGTCCTAAGGAGCTGAAGTGATTTCCTCCTGCTCTGCCCATCTCCAAACAGACACCCCCAAACTGTCTGTACCCCACGGAAGGAAGAGTGCAGTCTCACACAGACATAGCCAGCTCAGCAACACAAGTGAACTCTGGCCTAAGTGCTGACACAGGTTTGTGCAAACCTTCTACTAAATTCATGCAGAACAGCCTGGGTGCAGCCAAAATGTGTCCCCAAGATCCCACAAGGATGGACACTGGCCCACACTTAGGCCCAACAAAGCCACTCAGAGGGGGACCACCTCGCTCACAAGGTCTGGCGTCTGTGTATTTTGCATGTGTCCCAACAATGATAGAGGACCAAGGGACAGGCGTGTGAAGCTGAGAGAGGGCCAACTAGGTGGCTCAGAAGGTAAAAGTGATTGCCGTCAAACCTGACCATCTGAGTTCGATCACCAGGACCCACAAGCTGTAATGTAAGGAGAGCATCAACTCCTGCAAGTTGTCCTCTGACTTCCATATGTGAACTGTGGCGTGTGCCAGCACACACACACACACACACACACACACACACACACACACATAGAAAGAATTAGCATCATTGACTTGGAAGCTGGCTGGGGGGGGTAGTAAAAGCTTGTTGTCTTGTGTGAGGGCTAGGGTTAGACCCCAGGTGTGGCAGCCCGACACACCCTAGCAGGAGGGAGGCAGAGAGAGGAGAGTCCCAGAAGAAGCAAGCCAGCTGGACTAGACCAACAGAGGGAGTCTGGGTTCAAATAAGACCCTTCCTTGACTTAGCAGAGAGTAATGGAGGAAGAGTCAACCTCAGGCCTCCGGACACACATGTGGGAACACACTACACACGACAAAAAGAATAAGGAAAATAAACGAACCCATCATGGTAGTTTAAAATCATATATGGATACAGGATATTTAGAAACATGCAAATATGGGGACTGGAGAGATGGCTCAGAGATTAAGAGCACAGGCTGTTCTTTCAGAGGTCCTGAGTTCAATTCCCAGAATCAGGTGGTGGCTCACAACCATCTGTAATGAGATCTGGTGCCCTCTGCTGGCATGCAGGCAGAAGACTGTATACATAATAAATAAATAAAATCTTTTTAAAAAAAGAAAAAAAAAGAAACATGCAAATATATATGCAGAGAGAAAAACACACATTCTAATATCCAAATACACACGGATGTGGACATATAAACCATGCAGATAGCATAAGGACAGAAGACATGTGTGCAAAATTACATACGCATCTTTTTTTCTTTCTAAAAAAAAAAAAAAGTAAAAGAGAGAGAAATTGGCCCTCAAAGTAATTTTTGGGTTTTGTTGCTGTTTGTTTTGTTGTATTTTTTGAGGCAGTCTCACGTAGCTTAGGCTGGCCTAGAACTCACAACTCAGCTGAGGCTGGCCAAGCTGGCCAAGATCTAGGATTACAGATCTGCACCACCATGCAAAAACATTTAAAAATTTAAAATTGTTGCCCAGCATGGTGGTGCACACCTTTAACCCCAGCACTCAGGAGGCAGAGGCAGGTGGAACTCTGTGAGTTTGAGGCCAGCCTGGTCTACACTGAAAGTTTCAGACCAGCCAGTGCTACACAGAGAAACCTGTCTCAAATTTTTTCTATTGAATTTTATTTATAGTGTTGTGGATGGGGGAATGAGTATGCCCCACCCAGTGCATATGTGGAGATCAGAGGAGGAGTTTGAGGAGTCAATTCTCTCTTTTTCACCCTGTGAGTCTTAGGGATCATTAGGCTTCGTGTCAATCAAACGCCTTTACCAGCTGAGCCATCTTTCCAGCCCCAAAGTGCAAGAACCTGGGCTCACGCATGCATGAATGCGTGCACACACACAATCACAGACACATGGATACACATATAGACACAGACACACAGATACACACACACACACACACACACACACACACACATACACCGACACATACACAGTCACAGACAAATACACACAGAGACACAGGTACACACACACAGACACATACATGCAGACACACACACACACACACAGACACATGGACACACATATAGACACAGACACACAGACACACACAGACACAGACACAGTCACAGACAAATACACTCAGACACACAGATACACACACATAGCCACATACATGCAGACACATACAGAGACACACACAGAGATACAGACACACACACACAGACACACACACTCCGATACTTAGATACTGAAATCTGGTACAGAGAAGCAAAAGTGGTGGCAGGGGCCCATACAGACAGCAAACTATACCAAGGTGAGCAGACGCACACACATTAAGCCTCGTGCAGGAAGGGTTTGCTTAATATGGTTCTAATTTTCCCCTCATGACCCACTAACGTTCAAGTGAGAAAGTCCCAATAGGAGAAGAGTCCAAAGATGGAGCTAAGGGTCCTTGCCAGCTCCAGAGAGAGCCCCAATTGTGCCCCAGAAATTCCCTCACTGATGGGGTGACAGAGGAGATGACAATGTGGGGTGCAGAGGGGATGAGAAGGGACGCACACACCGTCTCCACCATCTCAAGGTTCAAGAGAACAGGCCTCTAGCCTCTAGCCCTCTGAGGGAAGTCCAGCCCTCCTCCCTCAGACCCAGGGCTGCAAGCCCCAGCCTTCTCCCTCAGACCCAGGGTCAGGCCCAGCTCTCTCCTCGGACCCAAGGGTTCCTGGGTCAGGCCCTTCTTCCCACTGGACTCAGGGCAGGTGGGTACCTGTGAGGCAGAGCCAGATCCCGAGGAGGACGAGCAGGAAGGTCTTGGGGATCCCCATGGCAGCCTGAGGAGCTAAGATGCGACACCAAGGACAACTCCTGCCACTCTGGCTTGCCGTCAGGCGAGTTTTCCCTGTTGATCCCCAGGCATCTCGGCCACCCAGCCTGGCCAGGATTCTAGATTCCTCCACCCCGCCCTTCCGCCCTCCTTCACGTGGGCTGTCTCCTGGTAAGTAATCACGGTGGGGCTCTGGATTAAAGGGTGGGGACTCGGGCTCCTGGGTCCGGAGGAAGGCATTAGGGGCCTGCAACCTTGATTTTGGGGGCAATTTGTATTTCGCCGGTCTGTTTGTATCCTTTCTACATTCTGTGCTGGTTTGCAGTTGGTCCCCGGATTCCTGCTTTCCCCGATTCTCCCCCTCTAGCCCCCGGCGCCCACACAGACACAGACTTGGAATCCCGGGATGGAATCTCCAGAGAGGCACCCAGCCACCCTCTCTCCCCTGAGGCTTCTGGGACCCCATTTCCTGACTCTGCTGTCTGTCTTCAGTCTCCAGCGCCTCCCTGCTGCCGGTGCTGATCATGTAGGGTGGGCTGCTGTTTCTCTTTCACAATAGACTGGAGATGCTCCTGCAGCCTCTAGGGATGCCCGTGACGATGGATGATGGATGAATGGATGGATGGATGGATGGATGGATGGATGGATGGATGGATGGATGGGGGAACAGATGGGTGGGTGGGTGGATGAGCATCAAGAGAGGGAGAGAAATAAAAATGATCACATATGAGATGCAGAATGACAGGTTAAGGCTGTGGCTCAGTTGGTAGAGCACTTGCCTAGCATCCAGGAACCAGCACTTTAAAACAACAACAACAAAAAACAAACAAACTAAACATAATGGCCACAAAGCCAGTCTAGGGTACATGGCCTCTTGTCTTAAAGAAATAATAAATAAGCCGGGCAGTGGTGGCGCACACCTTTAATCCCAGTACTCGGGAGGCAGAGGCAGGTGGATCTCTGTGAATTCGAGGCCAGCCTGGTCTACAAAGCAAGTTCCAGGGCAGCCAGAACTACACAGAGAAATCCTGTCTCGAAAAGCAAGCAAACAACAACAGAAAAAAAAAAAAAGATAAAAGAGATCAAAAATAGATACAAAGGCGTGTCCAGGTGGCTCAGTGGGTAGAGGTGCTTGCTACCAAGCCTGCTGACCCACGTGGTGGAAGGAGAGAACACCCATAAGTTGTGCTCTGAGTTCCATCATACCCCACGGCACACACCCTCCCACCACATACACCCAGAAAATGAATAAAGGCTTTTAAGTTAGAGAGATACAAGAAGACACAACCCGGCGAGGACAGATGTCAATGTAGACACACAGACAAACCCAGAGATGAAGAGAGACACCCTGATAGACAGGATGTGCCCACAGAAGGTGTTGGTAAATGCTAATTAACTAAATGGAGTGCCGCCTGCTTCCACAATACCTATACTTAAAACCGGTGGAGATTTGATAACGCAAGGGTTGT